GCCGATGCTCTATCCACTGAGCCAAACCAGTTAGGGCTCTTTTTTTTTTTTTTTTTATCCTCACCCGAGGATATTTTTCCATTGATTTCCAGAGAGAGTGGAAGAGCAGGAAAAAGACAGACAGAAATATTGATGTCAGAGGAACACATAGATTGGTTGCCTCCTGCACGTGCCCTGACCAGGGCCCGGGCCAGGGAGGAGCCTGCAACCAAGGTACGTGCCCTTGACCAGAATTGAACCCAGAATCCTTCAGTCCACAGGCTGATGCTCTATCGACTGAACCAAACCGGCCAGGGCTTGGGACCTTTCTTTTTTGGTGGATCTGAACTGTGTCAATCTACAAGAAATCCCCAGAGATTTATAAAAGCAAGGGACAGCCCTAGCCGGTTTGGCTCAGTGGATAGAACGTCGGCCTGTGGACTGAAGGGTCTCGGGTTCGATTCCAGTCAAGGGCATATGCCCAGGTTGTGGGCTCGATCCCCAGTGTGGGGTGTGCAGGAGGCAGCCGATCAATGATTCTCTCTCCCTCTCCCTTCCTCTCTGAAATCAATAAAGAAATATATTAAAAAATAAATAAATAGAGTCTTGGACAGAGAAACAATTGGAGATGTCAGGCTGGCTCCCTGGGCCACCTCTAAAGAGGTGAGGCTGAGTCCTAGCCAGTTTGGCTCAGTGGATAGAGCGTCGGCCTGCGGACTGAAGGGTCCCAGGTTCGATTCCCGTCAAGGGCATGTACCTTGGTTGCAGGCACATCCCCAGTAGGAGGTGTGCAGGAGGCAGCGGATCGATGTTTCTCTCTCATCGATGTTTCTAACTATCTCTCTCCCTTCCTCTCTGTAAAAAATCAATAAAATACATTTTTTTAAAAAGACTTTTATAAAATGTGCTCAGTTCACGTCTCTTTGCTTTATCCCCAGGACGACTGAGGAACCCGGGACCCTGAGTCTGCAGGCCGACGCTCTATCCACTGAGCCAAACTGGCCACGGCAATAAAATACATTTTTTAAAAAGACTTTTATAAAATGTGCTCAGTTCACGTCTCTTTGCTTTATCCCCAGGACGACTGAGGCCCCTGGGAGAAGCGGGGTCCCCGGGGCTCACCCGCGCTGAGAATTTCTTCCATCGACTTCCATTCTGGAGTTCAAGGAAGAGCCCCGCAGCCTTACTCGCCTTGAGCAAGCCGTGCTAAGACCAAATCCACAACCACACCCTCAGCAGCAGGGCCCCCTGCCCTGGCTCACCGAGGGCCCTCCCTGAGTGGGAGTGGAGCCTCCTAGTGTCATGACAACCACGCCCTGATGGCAGCGGTGTCTCTGGAGGCCGGCAGTGAGCGAGTGCCCTGGAGCAGGCAGAGGAACTGGGCTTGGTCTTGGTGCAGAATCGGGGAACATCCGTCTTGTATATGCAAAGCGGCTCAGAGGGGAAGCCCGCAGGCTACTTCCTCTGCCCTGGTGTCTTTTCTGCTTTCCTCCCTCGCCTGCCCTCCCTGGTGCTCGGGGCTGCGGTCTCTGCTCTCCTGCTCAGTCCTTCTGTCCCCTGTGCCCCTTTTCTCTCCCCAAAGCTGCCAGTTCTCTATTCCTCCCGGGTTCTCTGCCACCTTGGGGATTCCTGCCTCCCGGCCTCCCTGGCTGCTTGCCTGGGGATGCTGTGCCCAGGTGTGGCTGGCTGGTCCCCACCTCGCAGGCACACTCTGTCAGGACACACTTTTGAAAGCACCATTTTTTTTCTTTATCTTTTTTAAATGAAGCATTTTTTATGTTTTTATTTCAGAGAGGAAGGGAGAGGGAGAGAGAGATAGAAACATCCATGATGAGAGAGAATCATGGATCGGCTGCCTCCTGCACGCCCCCTACTGGGGATCCAGCCTGCAACCCGGGCATGTGCCCTGACTGGGAATCGAACCGTGACCTCCTGGTTCCTAGGTCGATGCTCAACCACTGAGCCACACCGGCTGGGCGATAGCACCTTTTTTGTTGTTGTTCTGTACCTTGGGACCTTCTTTATAAACGAGTGGATCTTCAGAAAAGGATTCTTCTACCCGGACCGGGTTATTGTCAGGTGTAAACAGTGTTCCATCTGAGCGAGGTCCCTATAACCAGGAAGCCAGTACGTTTTGGCCGTGACCGTTGCCTGGCTGGGTCGTGTGCCCTCCCCCAGGCCCGTGAAGAGATCTGGAATTGGAATGTACGTGTCCTGAGAATAAGTACGGTCTTGGTGGCATGTGGATCCTTCTTGGCTCAGAGAAAAGGGATAGGTGGGCCCTAACCGGTTTGGCTCAGTGGATAGAGCGTTGGCCTGCGGACTCAAAGGTCCCGGGTTCGATTCTGGTCAAGGGCATGTACCTTGGTTGCTGGCACATCCCCAGTGGGGGGTGTGCAGGAGGCAGCTGATAGATGTTTCTCTCTCATTGATGTTTCTAACTCTCTATCCCTCTCCCTTCCTCTCTATAAAAAATCAATAAAAAATATATTTAAAAAAAAAGGGATAGGTGGGTGGGTAGTGGTGGTGGTGAACTAACAATTATCGAGTTCCCTAATGTGTCAAACACCGACTGGGTGCTTTCCATGATAATAATTATAGCCACTGACTGTTGAGTGCTTCCTGGTGCTGGTACTTGTGCTAAGTACTTGCAATATCTTACTTAATCGTCACAACAATCCCATGAGGAACATGGGATTATTATCTCCATTTTCCCCCATGAGATTAAAGCTCAGAGGCTCCATCGGTAGTAGGTCTATAGAGGAGACAGCCCCAGAAATCAGATTTCAAAGTCCAGGTTCTTAACGACTGGGTGATTTTGATACTACAGAGGAGAAAGGGAGTCTCAGAGATGTTCAGCAACTTGCCCAGAGTCACACAGCTAATAAGCAGAAGAGTCAGGATTCGAATCCAGAACTGTGTAAAGCAAAGCTATGCTCCTTCCCCGTCCCCTGCGTCCTTAACCTACAGAAGAGCCTTGGACACAGGCTGGCCCTGTGAGATAGGGTTACATCCCCAGATTTTAGGGAACTTACCTAAACCCCTGACTGCTGACCTATCTGTCCAGGCTGAGATCGGCCCTATTGGTATCAGCAGATGAGCAGGTAACATGGTGATCCCAGGATTATCATCATTTGCCTTCCTGCGTGTTCGAGCCTGGGCTCAACCATACGGCTGTGAGGCCTGGGACTCGCACTTCCGTTAGGGCACCTGAAGCCACCAGTCACTGGACTGCTCATGGGTCTCTTCTGTTCTCGCTGCCCTTTTCAAGTTCAGATCCTTGCCGTCGCTCTCCTCACCTGCTGTAGAAGCCACCTCCTGGGTGTCCTGAATGGAGCTGGCTTACTGTGGAGCCTGCTGGGACCCCAACCATGGTGGTGGCCAGGAAAGTGGTTAAGCAGGAGGACTGGGGACACTGGCTGGGGGTCGAGGCACCCAGTGAGGGGCCACTGTGGCTGGAGCTCAGAGAACGGGTGGCGGTGGAGGTGCGTTTGACATGAGGTTGGAGATCGGACTTTATCCTTCACGTCTGGAGGCCAGTGATCCCAGGGAGAAGGGGGAGGTCTCATTTGTATATTTCAAAGATCACTTGAGCCCTAGCCGCTTTGGCTCCGTGGATAGAGCATCGGCCTGCGGACCAAAGGGTCCTGGGTTCGATTCCGGTCAAGGGTACATACTTTGGTTGCAGGTTCCTCCCTGGCCTGGGCCCTAGTCGGGGCTCGTGCAGGAGGCAACCAATCGATGTGTCAGGTCAAGGGCATGTGCTTTGGTTGCAGGCTCCTCCTGGCCCGGCCTTAGTCGGGGCTCGTGCAGGAGGCAACCAATCGATGTGTTTCTCTCACATTGATGTTTCTCTCTGTCTTCCCCTCTCTTCCACTCTCCCTAAAAGTCAGTGGAAAAATATCCTTGGGGGAGGATTAACAACAACAAAGACAAAGATCACTTGAGGATAGAGAAACTGAAGGCATTGAGCTCAAGTGGAAGACTCCTGAAAGTGTCTGGGTGAGAGGCTAGCGTGGTTTCGTCTACAGCGGTGAGAGTGGAGATGGAAAGAAACGCAGGTGGATAGAGGGGGAAAGGGCTTTCCAACAAGAGCACCAGCAAAGCCATGGAGGTGGGGAGTGGCCTGCTCCTGGAATATGCCATCTTTGTACATGGTTGTCATACTGTACCTACACACAAAATTTGATGATCCTTTTTCTTTTTTAAAAATATTTCTTTTTATTGGTTTCAGAGAGAGGAAGGGAGAGGGAGGGAGAGATAGAAACATCAATGAGAGAGAATCATGGATCGACTGCCTCCTGCACAGCCCCTACTGGGGATCCAGCCTGCAACCCGGGCATGTGCCCTGAATGGGAATTGAACAGTGACCTCCTGGTTCCTAGGTTGATGCTCAACCACTGAGCCACACTGGCCAG